GGCGGCCCCAGCCCCCGGGACTCGGTGGGCCCGCGGCGATTGGGCGGCGAGCGGGTCGGGCACCAGCGGGACCCGCCCCGCCCCGCTCGCCCCCGCCCGCCGCTGAATTCGGGCGGTTCCTCGGCGCTCACGGAGGCGCCGGCTGCTCAAGGGGAACCTTGCGATGTCCCAGTTGGCAGGGCAGAGACCCGATGTCGTCCCCTCCTCGTGTGATGGTGGAGAAACTGAGGCCGGGACCTGGACCTTGGGAATCTGTCTGCCTGTTGGGGTGGAGATTCAGCCATCCCTCACTCAGACACAGCGCTAGCCTCATTGAGGGACTTACCTGGAGCCAGGCCTGATCCCTCCAGTCCGTCCCCCCACAGGGCATTAACTGCATAAGAAACAAGTCTGGGCATGTGCCTCCCCTAATGAAAATATCAAAGAGTTCCTACATGAGCTGGTCCCTGCCTACAAACTCATTGCCACCACCATTCCCCAAATATCGCTCTAGCTCTTTTCACTTCAGGCATTTTGGACTTAACATATGTGCTGTTCCCTCTTCTCTGTTCATGCTATACCCCATGCTTCACCTTTTTCAAGGCTCAGAGAAAACGTTACTTCCTAAGATAGTCCTTTCATAGGGGGCTGCTCCAGCATTTTGGTGTGAAATTGGCTCAGGGGTATAATCCAGCCAGGAGTAAACTAGAAACTGCCATTGCATAGCACCAGTGTCCTGCTGAGCCATTTTGGAACCTTAGGCTAATGGGAAACTTTACATCCTATACACACGTTTATATATATATATATATATATATATATATATATATATATATATATATATAGCGTTTATTTATCTTGATTACTGCATTTTATGGCACTCCCTTAAATTTTGCCCCTGAGCAAGTGCCTCAGTCTCCTCACCTTAGTCCTGACCCTTATTATGTAAGTCCTTGTATATTATTCCCTTATGCTTGGAAAAATCTTTGTGCACTGCTCCTCGACTCCGCTGCTGCCTTCCTCAACTCCCTCTGTGGTGCTCTCTCAGAGCACTATTCTCCTTTGCTGATGTTCATGTCATGTATAATTCAGTGTCAGATGTGAGAGACACAGGAAAGAGCTAACTTGAAGCGTTCTTTAAAGGAACCCTGCCCAAGTCAGTTTCCCAGCAGAGGCAAGAAGAGCTCAGAGCTGGGCAGAAAGGGGCTGGAAATGTACCAATAGAGTGCACCTCAGTGTGTGTCACTCAGGGTTTGGAGCAAACTTTGATGGACAGAGGAAGGGAAAGAACAGAGAGAGAGAAGAAACTTGCTCTTTTATTTCATTGTATCTCTTTCAGTGTAACTGTTACACATATTATATCTCTCCATCCTAGACTGCCTCCAGTTTGTTCTTGACCCTGGAAAACATGGATACATGAATCCCTTTTAAACAATGGGATTCTTATAGCCCTATCAGTTGGTTCCCTTTAAGTTCTTTTTCAAATAAATTGCTGTTATAATGGGTGCTTATTATCTGTTTTTGCCCTGCATCCATCCCCCTTTCTTCTGGGAAGTCCTCTCCATTTTGCATTGGGGAATGAAATTTTCTCACCACCTTGATTTTCTTTACTACCTTGATTGGTTCATGAGTGATCACTGGACATAAACTGGGCTAAAGTTTTCCCCTAGGATTTTTAAAGTTGAAAATAGGAAAAAGAGACTTCCATTTTCATCCATGAAGAATTAGCTGTCATGGGAATTGTCCCCCATTGTAAACAACTAAAAAAAAACAGAAAAAAAAAATACACCTAGCAACTGTTTTCAAGCATTGGCCAACAGGTAGCATGGAATTATGGTAACTATGGAAAGGGAAACAAATGATGTTAGGCCTACAATTGCCCCCCGATACTGTCTCAAAGCAGTTTCCAGGTATCACTGCAGGAGTGGGGAAACCAAACAGAGCAATTTCACAGAGTTGAGGAGACAGAGATCAGAACTCAGGAAAACTGAGGCAGCTAGAATTTGTGGAGCAGAGTATTAGAGAGGAGGGCATAAAGAGAGAGAGAGTGACAGAGATCTGCAGAGGGAGCCCCTCAAGTCTTTAGTTGAATACTGTGCAGAGCATGCATGGGTGAAATTCCAGGAGGTCAGGAGGAGAACCACCACAAAGTAGTATACCAAATATTTCTTGGAGTTCACACAAGCCTGGGAATATTTTGTCTTCACACAAGCCAAAACAGAGAGACCTCTTAATATATGAAGCATTGGACACAGTCCTCAAAAGTTGGCTTAGTATTGGAACAAAATTAGCTCTACACTAAAAACTGATCTGGGCCTGCCTTAACACAGCTTGAAAGCAAGACTCAAAAGGATCAAACTTATCCTAAGTAACTTAACTGTGATCCAGGGGGAGATAAAACAGCTCAACACTATTTAAAGAAAAACAATAAAATCCAATATTCAATAAAGTAAAATTTACAATGTCCAACATGTGAACAAAAATTATCAACCATGAAAACAACATGACTCATAAGCAGGAAAAGTCAATCAATAGAAACAGAACAAGAAATGAGAGAAATAATTGATTTAGCAAATGAAGACCTTAAAATATATAATATTTGAACAGACATTTCACCAAAAATAGACAAATGCAAAAAAAAAAGGCATATAAAAGCTCTCAACGTTACTGAGAAATAAAATTTGAAATCACAATGATACCACTACACATCTTTAAGAATGGCTAAAATTAAAAAGACTGACCATACCCAGTTCTGACAAGGATGTTGAGCAACTGGAACTCTCATACACTGCTGGAGGGAATGAAAAATGGTACAACCATCTTGGAAAAGTGGTTTGGAAGCTAAATATATACTTACATATGATTTAGAAATTCCACTGTTTAGATATTCAGCCAAGAGAAATGACTACACATGTCCATATAAAGACTTGTTCATATCAACTTTATTTATAATGGCCAAAAACTGACAAAAAAGTGTTTATCAACTGGTGAATGGATAACCATATTGGTAAAATAGCTTCCCCTTATCGAAGGTTTCATTTTCTATAGCTTCAGTTACCTGCAGTCAACCTTGTTCCGAAAATAGTAAATGGAAAATTCTGGAAATAATAATTTATAATTTATAATTTTAAATTGTGTGCCATTCTGAGTAGCCTAATGAATCTCCAGCTGACCCATTTCATCCCATCAGGGATAGGCAATCTACACTACCTACCCATCAGCCACTTAGTAGCCACCTCATTTATCAGGTTGACTATCCTAGTATCACAATGTTTGTGTTCAAGTAACCCTAATTTTACTTAATAATGGCTGTAAAGTGCAAGAGTAGTGATGATGGCAATTCAAATATGTCAAAGAGTAGCCACCAAGTGTTTCCTTTAAGGGAAAAGTTGTGTATGTATAGGGAAACAAATTATATGTAGGGTTCAGTACTATCCATGGTTTTAGGCATCTGCTGGGGGGTTTGAAATGTATCCCCTAAGGATAAGAGGGGGACTACAGCATATCCATTCAATGGAATATTACACAGCAATAAAAAGGAACAAATTACTGGTAATTGCAACGAAAGGGGTAAATCTCAAAAGCATTATGCTAAGTGTAAGAACCCAGATACAAAAAACTTATACTGTATAATTCCATTTACATGAAGTTCTAGGCATGATAAAATGTTTTGCTCTACAATTTCTAGCTGCTTCAGTCTCCCTGAACTCTATCATAGTGACAGAAAGTGGTTCCCAGATTCAAGGAATAGGAGAAGAGAAATGACTGCAAAAAGGTATAAGGGAACTTTTTGGATGGGAGGAAAATTCTATATCCTGATAGCGGTGGTAATTACTAACCATATACATTTGTCAAAGCTCACAAAACATTACACTTAAAATTGGGGAATTTCATTGAATATAAATTATACTTCAGTGAAGCTAATTTAAAAATTAGAAAAAATTTTTGTACTATGCTATGTGAAGCATAGTAGCTCTAAGTAGCTATGTTTTTTTAATTGGTCTTTTTCTTACTGATTAATTTTTTGTATATTAAGAAAATAAGAGCTTTGTAAACATAAGAGCCGGTAAACACTGTGCTCGTCTCCTCTCATGGACACCTCAAAATTGTGACTAAATCACAGAACAACTGTCACTGAGAATCTCCTGGAATATGGCTAAGTCCTAGAACTAAGGATATACAGAAGATGCAACATCAAGACTGGTAGGAGGGGCAGAGAGACCACATGGGCTTGTCCCACACCCACATGTAGTGGTTAAATACTGGGAAGGCTATCTTGGCTGTGGAGGTACCCCTTGAGGAGTGAGGGGTTCCAGCCTCAAACCGGGCTTCCCAGCCCAAGACTACAGAGCTAGGAAGAGAAGTCCCCATAACTTCTGGCTGTGAAATCCAGCAGATTATGGCTGAGTGCGACGGAGGGCTGCTGGAGTCCCAGGCATTCCTCTTAATGAGCCTGTGCACAAACTTACTTACTGACAGACTCACTCTCTCTCTGCTCCAGTGCTGGGGCAGTGCTCAAAAGGCACCTCAAACAGGGAGGATCTGAATTGCCTGGTTTCAGTGCAATGGCTGGAAGGGAAGTTTTGTCCCAGACAGAAGTGCTGGCACAAGCCATTGTTCCTTTGTTGAGCCCTGCCCCACCCAGCCTGCATGCACAGGTGGGTGCCATATCTGAGTTTCCATCAATGTGGCTAACAGTGTTTGCCTGGCCTTGGTGATTCCCTGAGACTCCAGCCGGCCCAACTTGTGGGTCCAGCCAAGTTGCTTCCAATGATTTTTCCAAATAAACAGCCTGTCTTGACTCAAGCTGCAGACTGTCCTAAAATCTCTCAAAGGTTCACAAACCCCAAATAAGAAGCATCTGGCCTCAGCATGCCCAGTACCCCTTGCTATGCAACCCCAAGCTGGGCACTAGTGGCAGCCAGCATCAGTTCACAGCTTAGTCTCTCCCAGGCACCTC